TATACAAGAGGCATACACAGGGGAAAAAAATAGGCTTAGAGAAATTTAAGAGCAAAAACAACTATCTTTAGTAATAAAAATATTAAAATAGTGCTTGTGCTCATTTTATTTGCACAGGAAGGCTTAAAAAGAAACTCTTTTGAGAAATGAAAGCTCATCAGATTACTAATAACTGCAGCTTCCTGAACAATTAAAGAAATTTACAAGATTACAACCTACTTAGGAAATGACAAATATTTCTGATTTTTACAGAAGGATTAAAAGGGCACTTTTATCTATAGCATCTTACAGTTTATAGTGCTTCCGTAGAAAGCACTGTTAAGTAATGAAGATATTTTTATTTTTTATTCATTTATTTCAAGAATACTCAACATGGCAATGGTCTGAATAAAAGAAAAACTGAAAATTGCTTGTTTAGACAGGTAAAATTTTGTTTTAAAAGGCATTTACCAGATTTTTCTTTCTTTATCTATTGATGTTGGACCTAAGAGCACAATTTCCATTGTAGAAAGTTTTTGTTCCTAATACATCAGCAGAAGTGTCCTTTAAGTTACCTGGTCTAATTCTTTACCTAGTCTAATTCTTCACCTAGTTTAATTCTTCACAAATACGTTCTGGAAGGCTGTCCTCAATGCATCATCCTAACATTGTTTGGCCCTGATCACATTCTGTGTGCAATGCTCATGTTTAGAAAAAAATCTGCTCTTTTATATAACTTATTCAATAAAATATTGACAAATGATTTGTATAATATAGTACAGCCAGTAAGCAAGGCTCGTCTCTGACATTGCATGCCACACTCAACCCTTCCACAAATGTTGCTGTGTTATGTTAGCACTCCCCATGCCATTCTGAATAGCAGCCCAAAGATCAATACACTGTCTGCTGAAAACTACAGGATATAACAAATGAATAATTTTATTTACAATAAAAGCCCCAGTTCCCAAATGGATTCTGCTAATGTTCAAATTCATTTTTCATGCTCAACTCAAGACGAGAGGTAGACATAGTTCAATGTAAAGAGAGGGGGTGAGGAGAAGTATTAACCATAGTGGTTCAAATATATTTAAGCCATTAACAATAGCTGGGCTACACTGAGGTACATGATAATGTGTTCACTGCAGAATTCTAAAGATGCAATCTCCTAAACACTTGTGTCTCACCAAGACACTCTGAAAAGCATTTTCCAGTAAGAAGAAATTAATGGATTAAAGACATTCTGACATATTCTTGTAGAGTGTTGCACTACAGAGGCCAAAGCCTATTTAATTGGCTTTAGACACTGTACCAAATAGAAGTGTTTGCTTCAGGTGTGGCTCTTTTGAGAATGAAGCAAATAGTCTTGCTTCAAAATTAAATCTTCAGCCCCTGATCTGACATTTCTTTCCCTCCTCTGAAAGATATGAAAGAATCTGTGAGCAAAGTCAAAAGAAAAAAGGGTGGAGAGTGGGGGATTCCTCAAAATGTTAGAGAGGACACAAGTTCAAAGATAACATTTACAAGTCTCTGATGAATGGCACATTCCCTAAAGGCCACCTGAATACTCTTTTTAAAAAGAAATCATCAAACATACAATAGAAAAATTTCCAATTCACATAAAACTGCTTTAAAATACACACTTGTCCATTGACAAATTAACATACAAAATAATAAGAAAAGGAGGGGAAATAATCTTTTCCCATCAGTGTCAATTCTAATCATTGCTTTTAGATTTAACTCAGTATACTTATAGCACAAAAATGTAAACAAGATTGTAACTGACAAGGCATGAAGGGAAAATACAGCTTGAATATGATACTAAAAAATCTGGAATAAAGTGGTGACAAGCTTTGGCTTTGTGCAAGGAATTACTGAAAAGGCAGGCCTTTGGCAGCCCCTTACTACCCCATTCCATTACTTGAAATGATCCAGGTATTCCTGCCATTTACATTTTCACTTTAAACTCAGTCAGCAAAGTACTTTAGATGCTAGGACAAAAACATTGTGCAAGAGCAGGTCCTGTTCCCACTCCTTACCAGGAACCACTGACTCAGTGCAGAGACAAACAGGAATGCACATAGTTATGCCATAAAGCAGAATGGGATGAAGGTTTGGACTGATGCCTGAAACAGAGTAGGAATTCAGTAATAAACTATAGAATGAATAAGCACGTGATTAATGAACCAACTCTCACAAAAAGGAGAGAGTATATTTTTTTTTCTTAAAAAGGTGGGACTGGTATCAAAACACTTTAGCTGAAATGAAAATGATAGGAAAAATTGCAAGGTGGAGAGGGCTACATGGGGAGGCATGATAATGGAAACAGAAGGCCTGGTTAGGGAAGAGCTGGGAAGGGTTGAGACAAGACAATGGATGGTGACAGGTGGATACTGGAAATATCGGGGATCACTGTGTAAAGCACATAACTATTGACCACTCTACTGTACACCTGAAACAAATGCAAAATAATATCTAATGTAAACTGTAATTGAAAAATAAAAATGAGATTAAAAAAGATTAAAAAATTTTTAAACTATGCTAAGGAGTTTGAATTTTATCCTAAAAAAAAAAGGCAGGGGATGGAGGAGACTCATTTGTTTCATTAGTTGTAAGCAAGGGAACAAGAGAGTGATATGATCAGAGCTGTGGTTTAGAATGAGGGATGTGCTGGATTGGAGAAGTCCAGATACAGGGAGGGCATACAAAGGGGCTAAATGAGAACAGATGGAATAGAATGTGGAAAAGATTAAAGCCCACTGCAGACATCTCACCAATTATTTTATGAAATGTTAGAGGGCAGAGCTATCCACAGCTTCAATTCCCAAATCACAGGACAGAAGAGTGTCGCTTTCTGAAAGCGAGTAACTTATTAATATTCTTCTCAGTTGTCACTTAAGACTTTATAAAGGTAAAGTAAAATAAAAAGCTACAAAATCATCATATAAAAAGGGTTGTCTGAATTCAGCATCTACTGGCCCTAAGACCACTTTACACACTGTAGCTGCACTGTAGCTTGCAGAGTGTACTGATTACAAAAACAATTGTGTTCTCACCCTCAGAAAGGGCCAGGTCCCTCTTGCTACCTTCCAAACAAATAAGCTTGTTAATTTTAATACAATGCCCCCTATCTCCTTGGTATTTACTCAAAGACAAGGTAACTGATGAGGACTCATTTCCAAAATGGCAATTCCAGTGCCATCTAGAACAAACATAATCATCATTCACTACTTGCTTACTGTTCAGTGTAGACATTTCCCTAGATTCAGACATCTCAAATTTTCCTGAGTTCAAAAACATATGTGACTCAGGTCTTATACATTATATGTTCAGAGTTGGTCAAAAACACCATGAAAAATCAAGTTTCTTACTATAAGAAAAAAATCATGGAACAAAATTCATTCCATTATTAACCATTAAAAAAGCAGTACAGCTCTACAATCTCACATTTTCTCAGCCTAAGGCATAAGATTTGTTCACCTAAATTCACATTTTCATGCTAGGTCTCCTCAATTCTTTGACAGAAGTCAATTAAAACTGATACCCAAAGAGAGGTAAAATTTAAACCATTATTCTTTTGACAATGGAATTCTCAGACAGTTTGCATAAAAAAGTTCCTTGAAGGAAAAAGAAAACCACAAAATTGCAGCACAATCAAATGAAAAAATAAATTACTTCTGTTATTTCAAGAACTTCAAGTCTTTGAGAAGAACTCAATAAAAAATTGGTATGCAGGTTGAAAATTGTTCTGTTTTATAGGACCCTTCTGAATTATTCTAGTTTTTATTTTTTACTTCAATAAACAAAAGAATGAAAATTCCTAATATTGAATATAATTTAAGCTGTTTCATGAATTTTAGAAGAGTTAAATATCAAGAAAAATATTATATAATATCATTTATGAGTTTATTGCTATGACCAATAATTTTATATTTACAAAATTAATTTAGTTAAAATTTAGATTCAAGAAATTTGAAAATCTATCATAAAATCACAATTGTTGATATTTTCTTGTTTGTACAATTTTTCAAAAAAGATTATTCATAAAATTCTCAAACACTTTGAAAATTCCCACTTTAAAAAATCATAATTTACTTTGAAAATCATCTTGATGGATTTGTAGATTTAGACTGACCATAAATTCATTTTAAAAATAATGTATCAGTGTGGAAAATGCTTATTATTTTAAAATATAAAATGTTATGCTTTGTTGCACTCTGCATAGTAAATTAAGTTAGGGAAAGGAGAAAAACATTCTAAAGAATCAGTACAAAGTCATATGCACACAATCACAAGTCATATCTTCAATAACATAAAAATTACTCTCCAGAGCATTTCACCAATTCCCACTACTCCACTGCAAAGAATAAAGATTCTACTAAAGTCCATAGGAGAAAAGACTACAATTCAACAGTCAGAGAGAAATAAAACAACCTTCCACCAATGACACTTGACAATAATCTAGAAGATGGGATGTTTTCTAAGAGAATATGCTTTTCAGGCCCTAACATGAACAAAATATTTTAAGCATATTTTTATATGAATTTAATTAAAACTCCTAGCTTGAATGATCTCCAAGAGGTAAAGAAACCAAGTAGGTCTCAAATCTTCACATAACACCTTACTTTCACATCACAAAAGTGCCACCCAATCTCTATGTTACCATTAAAATTCACAACTGATAACAGAAAATAAAGTACCCATGATACTTATTGGAACCATTTTATAAGCACCTGTTTATTTACACAGCTACCATAGTAAAAAGGTAAAACAAAAACTCACCTCCAAAGCCTCAGTTGCTAAGCAACTCTTTCTAGAAGTCCTTCAAAACTAATCAAACATATTACTGGTACCACCAACTGGATTCAGAATAAATGTAATAATATCTTACCTGGTTTGTCCAAAGAGGGAGGAAAGTGGATTCCTTGTTTACCTTTTGGACAGACATTGGAGGACAATCCTGTATTCACTTGGCATGTTAGGTTGAAATGCGTTTTTCCCCTTTTTTTTAAAAAAAAGGATACGTCCTGGTACCACAGGTTTCCTGTTCACAAGGGCAAAGGACAGTTCTGTCTTTAGAAATACCACAGAGGGCTTGATGAGATGTTGGCCAAATCGGAATGACATTTTCTAACAGTTGAAATCTGAAAGAGAAGATGAGTTAGGGCCTTTAAAAAATTCAACTGAGAAACAGATCATATACCACCTTAAAGAAAGCAAATTTCATTGTTGCAAATTCTTAGTTGAGAAGAAGAAATAATTTAATCCATTCCTCACTTAATGTTCAGTAAGATGTACTCTGGGAAAGTCTTCCCCAAAGACTTCACTCTCCTCACCAGGGTGGTTTTGATTGGAGTTAGTGTTTTCAAGCAGAAGCCTAATACATAGACGATAAAATGTTCTTAATCTTCTGCACTTCAGGTTGCCTCCTTAACCCCTATCTACTAGGTCCTATCTGTCAGGACCCATCCATTTTTGTTTTTACCCATCCATTTCATCATATTTACTAGGCTAAAATTTTTCATTGTTAAACATTTAAACTATCTAATTATTAAATGCTTTTCTAAATTGTTTTATCTTTGTTTATATAAAAGCAATTTTAACTAAGTACAAACACTGTTTGAACTTGTCTACAATTATAAAAGCATAGAAGCACTCCCAGGGAACTATTATAGTAAAATTTCCAAAACTAAAGAGAAAAAAATTGTGAAAAAAAGGAAGGGGCAAAATATAGCTCAAGATGTGAACAATTTCTGGTTGACACAGAGCCAGGATATAGCAAAGTATGTGAAGTGTTTCATATCCTCTGTTGTGGGCAAAGTCACATTACAGATTGGGAGTAGTAGGAAGGGAGTACAGCAAAATCTGGCACTTGGCTTCTAGGGTACCAAGAGATGATTTTATATCATTTAGATGACAATACATGACTGAGTTACTTTCTGAGGGACTAAGACACACCCTCCTTAGGAAACCACTTCATTTTTCTATTTCAGGAATGACTCTACCACAAAACTGATGGAGACAGATTAACTTATGGGAAAACATTACAAAAAACAATATCAGAAGATGACCAGTGATGTCAGATGTATGATTGTGTGAGAGATCCCCTTGATCTCTCCCTTTGAGGTTTCAACAATTAAATAACTATAATTCAACAAGGGATTTTCTGCTTGGTGTACAAATATGTCTAAGAGAGCCACACTCTGAAACATCTAAAGGTGGGCAAGTGGAAACAAACTGGGGAGGCGAGAAGAGTGAAAAGCTGAGATGAACCATGGATGTACAGCCTGGAGCTCTCAGTAAGGCTCAGCCTGAACAGAGGAGGAATCAGATTGTGGCTGACACTCCCATCAGCCGGGAGGAGCAAAGAGCATTCCTGCAGGAGTGGGCAGTAGTAGCTGTAGCTGAATCCAGTGATGAAGGCAGGGACAAACACAAAGATGAAACCAAAGTTGTCTGGCAATTGGCATTACAGAGAGTAGAGACCAAGAGTAAAAGCCACAGAGCCTGGCCGCCTTCCCTCAACTTCCCAGAGCTCACCTCTCCACACCCTTCATGTTGGGTTGCCAAGTACATTATCTGCAAACCTGAGAACTGGTACTACAAAAACACTTCTTCCATGAACAAAAGGTGCATTCTGGGTCCAATCACAGGTTGGGTGGAGATGGAGGGGGGATTCCATAGAGGTCCGAGGTCACCATTGCTGGGAAGGCAAAGCAACAAAGAAGGCAAGCAGGTTCCCCCAGCTCACCCCACCCTCACACATTGCAGTTGCACTGCTGGCAGCATCTCACTGAGGAAATAGCTTTGGGATTTAATGGATTTGGAGTCCCGTTGTCCACTGCATTTCCCTGTGGGGTTGGTCCCCTGAAATCAGGACAACTGGCTCAAAATGTAAGCACCCACCTTTCCAGTGAACACAGGCCATTTTGCATCAGCCCATAGAGACCTGATAAGCAAGAGAAGTGCAAGAAAGCTAAAAAAACTTGTGATTTAGTGCCACCTACTGGAAAACAACAGAAAGATTTCTTACAATCTACCACTCATGGCCTGCCACTCATAGGCAGATGCCTAGACAGAGAAGGAATCCATCAAATACCATGAATAACCAAGGTAATGAGGCAGCTCAAAAAGAAAATGAAAAATCCCCATAAAATCTACTTAAAGACCTGGAAATGTATGATTTAAATGACAGAGAATTCAAGACTGCAGTTATTAAAAAACTCAATGATGTACAAAAAGCAGAAATAGGCAGTTTAATGAACTCAGAAACAAAATCAACAAACAAAATGAATACTTTACCAAAGAGATTAAAACTTTAAAAAAGAACCAACTAGAAATTCTGGAGATGAAGAACTTAATAAAAGAGATCAAGAATGCACTACTAAGCATAGGAAATAGAACTGACCAGATAGAGGAAAGAATTAGTTATATCAAAGATAGAAATGTAGAAATGGCACAGAGGGAAAAAGAGAGAGACTTGAGCATAAAAAAAATAATAAAAGAACTCTGTGAGACCTATGGGACTCCATCAGAAAGAACAAAGTAAGAATAGAAGCTAAACCAGAAGAAGAGAGGGATCCCTGGCTGATGTGGCTCAGTGGATTGAGTGCCAGCCTGTGAACCAAAAGGCTGCCAGTTCAATTCCCCATCAGGGTATATGCCTGGGTTGTGGGCCTGCTCCCCAGTTGGGGGTGTGCAAGATGTTTCTCTTGCACATGGATGTTTCTCTCCCTCTCTTTTCCTTCCCTTCCCCTCTCTTTAAAAATAAATAAATAAAATCTTTTTAAAATGTTAAAAAATTAAAAAGAGAGAGAAAGGGGAATGGAGAGCCTATTCAAACAGTTGATGAGAACTTCTCAAATCTATGGAAAAGTTAAATCCTCAAATCTAAAATGGAAATAAAACACTGAATTACCTCAATCCAAAAAAAACACCCTTCTCCAAGGAATATTGTATTAAAACTGTCAAAAACAATGACAAAGAAAGAATTTCTCAAGGCATCCATGGAAAAGAAAGAAATATTCTATAAAGGAAAGCCCATTAAGTTATCATCAGACTTCTTAGCAGAAACTCTATAAGCTAGAAGAGAGTAGAACCAAATATTCAAACTACTGAAAGAGAGAAATGACCAGCCAATAATAATATATGCAGCAAACTTAGACTTTGGATATAAAGGAGAAATAAAGACTTTTCCAGGCATACAAAAGCTGAGGGAATTTATCATAGAAGACATCCACTGTAAGAGCTATTCAAGGGGGTTATCCAACATGAAACAAAAAGCAAAAGGTCACAAAACTATGAGTTAGATCACCAACAAACTTACTGCATAAACAGGGATAATTTGCAACAACAACAAAAAAATAAAAAGGGAGGGGTAAAGATCTGAATTTGCAAAGGAGGATGGAGATGAGACATATTCAAAAAGAAAGGGGCTACTATATATATAGAACTTTATTTTTCATACGTTTAATGATAATCACACACCAAAAAACCCCAGAGAACATAACTTTAAAAAACAGGAAACAGAGAGGAAAGTATGAAATACCCCCAAACAAAAATAAGACAGAAACACAAAGGAAAAGAACCCATTGAAGGGAGGCACTAAGCTACCAGAATACAAAAGATAAAATGGCTATAGGAAATCCTCATACATCAGTAATTACCCTAAGTGTAAATGGACTGAGTTCACCAATAAAAAGGCATAGAGTAGCAAATTGGATCAAAACAAAAATCAACCAAATGCTGCATGCTGGAGACACATCTAAGCTGCAAATATAAAGACTCAACATATAGTGATGGAAAATAATTCTTCAGACAAATAGCATCCACAGAAAGTCAGGTGTAGCCATACTTATATCTGACAAAATAGATTTTGATAACAAAGGTAATAAGAAACAAAGATGATAAAGGGGACACTACATCAAGAAGACATAAAACTTCTCTCTATATATCTCTATCTATCTCTATCTCTATCTCTATCTGTGTCTATATATGATCTAGGGGCACCAAAATACCTAAAACAACTACTACCAAAAGGGAAAAACTGACAAAAACACAATCATAGTAGGGGACCTAAATATTCCATTGAAAGCTCTAGATAGATCATCTAAATAGAAAATTAATAAAGAAATAGAAGCCTTAAATGACACATTAGGTCAAATGGACATAATTGACATTTACAGAGCCTTTTATCCCAGACCATTAGGTTATGCATTCTTCTCCAGTGCACATGGAACATTCTCAAGGATAGAATAAATGTTGGGTCACAAAACTAGACTCAGCAAATTTAAGAAGGCTAAAATCAAATCAAGCTTATTCTGTGACTACAATGCTTTGAAATTAGAAATCAACAGCAGAAAATAAGTAAATAACCCTACAAATATGTGGATATTAAACAACATACTACTAAAAAATGACTGGGTGAAAGAAGAAATAAAAGATGAGATCAAAAGATATGTAGAGACAAATGAAAATTAAAACATGACATATCAAAATTCCTGGGATACTGCAAAATCAGTAAGAGGGAAGTTTATATTACTATAGGCCTATCTCAAGAAACAAGAAAAATCTCAAGTGAGCAACCTAACATTACATCATAAACAACTAGAAAAAGAAGAACAAAATCAGCCTAAAATCATTAGAAGAAAGTAATAATAAAAATTACAGCAGAATTTAACAAAATAGAGAACAGAAAGACTACACTAAAATTAACATAACAAAGAGATGGTTCCTTGAAAAGGTTAATAAAATTGACAACCCCCTGGCTAGACTCACTTAGAAAAAAAAGAGGAAAGACTCAAACAAAATCAGAAATAAATGAGGAGGAAATTACTATAGATATCAGAGAAATACAAAGAATCATACCAGAATACTACAAAAGGTTACATGACAACCAATTCAAAAAGAAATGGAAGAGTTCCTAGAAATATGTAAACTTCCTAGATTGAATAATGAAAAATTGGAAAATCTAAATAGACTGATCAACAGTGCAGAGATTAAAACAACCATCAAAAACATCCCTCCAAATAAATGTTCAGGACAAGATGGCTTCACTACTGAATTCTACCAAATATTCAAAGAAAATTTTTAACCAATCCTTCTCAAACTCTCCCAAGAAAACTGAAGAGTTAACACTTTATAA